AGAATCAGCTCCCTGTGAGAGGCCTCTAGGGCCAATCCGAGTCTTAAGTGAGCAAGATTGCAGTAGCCTGACCTCTGAGTTTTGGCATCAAGCTTCCAGACCTTTTATCACTTTGTGTTTCTACTCTGATAACAGCTTCTTCCATGTTTCTGAGATCTACGCCCTCTTCTGGGCCCTCATTCTGGTGTCCTGTTCCTTATTTTATCCTCTAGAGATCTTGAGTTTGTCTTGAGAATGACTTACTATTGCCTCTACTTTCCTCCTCTCCAGTCCCAGATCCATGGTCCTGCTGCCAGCTTGGTGGCTGAGTCTCTCCCTCCTGATGGGTTTGCTTAATGCCAGAGACAGTTCATCTCCTTGGTTCCATGGCCACCTTCTGCCCCTGAGTTCATAGCCCCTACTCCCCACACCCACTGTAGTGGGAAGCTCCAGTGCCAGGCCCTGTCTCAGTTCATAGAACTCATCTCAAAAAGGTTTGTTTCCAAGAAGACACAACACAATGTCCTCATGTACTATTCCCAAGGTAGCGTTTGAACAGCCCCATGCTAATCAGGAAATCAGAGGCTCTAATAGAGGAAAGGAGTCAAGCTGCCCTCCCATATCAACTTATTTACCAAATGCTCACATGGGAATAACACAACACCTTCTACTTTTCAGAGTACTTTAAAATCTATTATTTCCACTGTATAAGGTCAGTGAGATAAATTCATCTACTCTTAGAATTAAATGACAGATGAGAAATCTGAGGTTGAAAAGGATAATGGAGCTATCAAAGATTATATAACTAGGCAGAGATAGGGCCTGAGTTCCTGTCTCCAGACTCCAAGGCCAGCATTCTTTCTGCTATATTATATCAGCAGATCAAGTCTATAGGTATTATGTCAGTGGGTCAAGCATTTAGGTATTATGTCAGTGGGTCAAGCCTGTAGATTCTGGCTGGAAATCGGAGGGTTGGAAAGACTTTTATATCATCCTGGCCAATCATATAATCTAGGGAATTTAAATGTTATCTAGGCTAATGTCATTATGCTGGAATCCCCTCAAAAAATGCCCTGCCAAGTGGTTAGCCAGCCTCTGCTTCAACAGCTCCCACAGCCACACGTTTCACCTTTAAGTATGTCTGAATATTAATAAACTCTTCCTTATCTTGAGCTCAGATGTAATTCCCTAATTTTCTCCTCACTCACTGGTTGTACCCAAGCACACATACGCATGTGTGCACACACACACATACACACACACACAAACAGCATGAATCTTTCTTTCCTATGAGAGTCTTCCAAAAGATTTACTCCCAAGTAATCATTATTCCATACTTAACAACCCGTGCTTCCTTTACTCATCCTCCAGTGAGAGGATTTTCATCTCCTTCATTGTTCTGGCCTAAGTCCTCCTCTGAGTCTCCTCTAAATGTTCTCATATTGTGGCAAATGACATGACTACAGCAACCTCAGTCTAGCCTTTGATCTGGGAAAGACCTCCATGCTGTGGTCTACTGACCCTGCAAGAACACAGGTCTATAGACCTCCCCTCATGGTCTCATCTTACAGCAGGATCTAGAAAAGCACAAACTAGAACAGAGATTTTGAAACACACTAACCAAGAACTGGAACTGGCTTTTGTTCCAGTGACTCTGCCAAACATTTCAGAAATTCTAGTAAACACGCACCCATCTGGAGAAGGCAACTCAAACGACAGCTAATTCTGCAGTTGATGCTTGATCACGGTGCATCTTGAGTAGGAGGAAAGGTAATGATTCACAGATACCAACTGCTCACCCTCATCAGATGAAATAGCTAGGAGAAGCAATGAATTGTGCTTCAATTATTCCTATCCAGAAATCACTACAGTTCAAGAGCCTATTATTCATGGAGGGGCAGCTTAAGCAGCATACCTGAGCAGGGGAATTGCTTCTCTCTGGCATCTTGATTCAGTTGGTTGGGTTTTATATGTTCTTTTTTTTCCTTTTGTTTTCATTATAGAAGTAATTTGAAGCCAACCTGGTTGATTAGGCAGAGCAGTTCCTAGATGTGCACAGGGCAGCCACAGCTTGGAGGGTGAAGTCCATTAGGAATTTCTGCTGGGCTTGGCTGCGGGCAGCAAGAAAAGATAGCAGGCAATCCTGACACTATTCAAAGTACTGAAGGGGCTGCACCTGGTAGCTCAGGAATCTCATGGCCTGGGTATTCTTTTCTGATGTCTCTTGGTCCTTATCCTGTAATTGTAAGTAACTGAATTTGTGCCTGAGACCAAGCCTCCACCTATATCCTAGGTCTAGGAATCAGATTCCTGATTTGTTGCTTATGCTTGGTTTCCAGCCCAGTACTCTTGTCCTAAATAATGGTGCCCTGCCACACTCTTAACAGCCTTTCCTTTCCCTAGAATCCCAGGACTGCAGCCAGGGCCTTGCTGCCACCTGCCAGACTTTCTTGATGCCAGTACCCTGCTCGAGGCGCTACAGGATCTCTATACCCAGGTCCTCCATTGCTAGGTTCCGCCCTCAAGCCCTCAAACTCTTACCTTGTGCCACATCTCCCTATGCCTGCCTTTCCTCTTCTCATACTTGTAACTAATTACTCACCTCTTTCTAGCAGGATATATTGCTTCCTTTGCTCCCTACCAGGAGCCAAGATGACACCAGCCTAAGCTCAGGGACCAATTTAGCTTTCTAGGCCCTCCAATTCTGCCTGGTATTGCCACTTTTCAATATTCTTTCTGCTCAATGCAGCTTTAGAGGAGAATGAAGGAGTAGATATGCTGCAGAAGAGTGATATGCAGCCTGGAATCCTGAGCTAGACGAGAAAGGGGGATGCCGGCACAAGACAACCAGAATCTGTTTCTCCCAGCCCAAAATACAAGTTATTAGTGCTACTTTCCCCCATCCCACCCCTATTTTCTTCTTGCCTACCCCACAACCTGATTTCTGTCACAGTGAGGACTGGGCCAGCTCTGTGAACACTGAGACAAAGTCACTAAGTAAATATTTCAGTTTAAGTGCTTTTGATTTTGCCTTTGGAATATTGATGGTAACTAACAAATTACACCCAAATTATGTTTATAGCTCTGAGGATATTTGAATTCAGGAAAACAAACTGGTGATTGGTTATCTTGAGGATGTAGTTAAAGTCACAAAAACTATTTTTGCCATGTGGTGATTTTTTTACAGAAATAACATTCCATTTGCTAAGTAACATGATAAACAACGGTACAGTTTCCTTCCATCATTACTTCCAAAATTAAATTGAACAGCAATCCTCTGCTTAGGCAGAGAGAACAAAAGTTGTTCATTCATGGAAAACAGGTACAAATTTTCCAGTGACTGTTTCTTTGAGGTATCTTTTTAGGAGATTTGAAGGGGAATAGGTTGCAAGGTGAGTATCCAACCTTTTAAAAAGCAAGAATCAGGAGTTTCAACCAAGTGGGCTGCTAATACAGAATATGCCCCCAAGAAATTGAGCTTGACACCATATTTCATGTGTTTCACAAGCCCATCCTATATCTGAATGTCACAGTCACCTTTGCAAAAAATAACATTCTTTAATCGAAGTAGAAAAATATAGTGTAAAGATTGCTTGCTATTTTCTAGGTAAAAGATCTTTTTCTTAAGAAAAACACTGCTGAGGATAAAAGCCAAGTATTGTTTTAGACATTCTCCAATTTCCAAAATACCATTTAAAAAAGAATTACACCCACGATTTATGCACGATTCATTAGACAGCAAGATAAAACGAACCGCTAAATTTTAATTGCATTGAAAGAGCAGACATCTTGAAATACACCCCCAAATTCTTGGGATTATAACCTAGTCTAGTAACATCTTCACTACAATGTAAACCTTGTCCAAGTAGCTTATCTTGATTAAATTAGAACTGTATTTTGAGTTTTATGATTTGATAAACTTCTGAAGAATTTTTTCAGTAAGCAATTAGAAGGTCAAATGTTATCAATTTTTAAGTTTTTTATTGTGAAAATTAATAGGTTGAATCATAGGATCTTCTATGAAAATGACAGGAATGTCATCTCATAAAAAAATGAAATATTGCCATTTGCGACAATATAGATGGACCTTGGATGCTAAGTGAAATAAGTCATATAAAAAGGAACAAAGCCATATGAGCTTACTCATATGTGGAATATAAAACCAAAAAAAAAGAAACAAAAGAACAAACAAAACAAAAAGACTCATAGATGCAGGCAACAGATTGTTGTTTACAAGAGGGGAGAGAGAGTAGGGGTGGGTGGGTGAAATGGGTAAAAGAGGTCAAATGTATGGTGATGGATGGAAACTAGACTTTCGGTGGTCTACACCTGAGACTTATATAATGTTATTACCCAATGTTACATAAATAAACAGACGGACAAATAAACAAATCCATCCTAATGAATTATTAACTTTATCATAATATTTAACATCTAAAAATAAGGGCTCAAGATTAATATTTTAAACACCATGTATTTTCTTATTCTAAATAGAAAATTTGCTTAAAAAATGACTCAGCTGTCTGCAAACAAAAGTGTTTTTTAAAAACTACAGTTTTCCTCCTCCCCACCTTCACCAAGAAAAGAATAGAATGATACCCTGCATTACACAGGCCTAGGTAGAGAACGTACCCAATATACACAATATACTCTCCATTACCCATACTGATTACAGACTGAAGCTAGGGAAGAACAATGTTCTTTGTATAATAGATATCTTACATAATCTATAATAATTATGGCAGACAACATCGTGCAGGATGTAAACAGCCTTTCAGAAGAGGTAAGCTGCCCAGTTACTGATCGGAAGGAGCCAGGCTGAGAATGAGCACCTGTATTGGATTTAATGGTCTATGACAGTAAGGTCTGCTGGGCTACCTGCCCCTCCCTTTAGGTTTGGAAGGACGTCTACCATTAGTCTTCTATCTGGCAGCCGCCTCTGAAGCGGGAGCAGGATTAACAGGACAGGCACGCTTGCTTGAACTTCTGTGTCTCCTTGAGATTGCTGTTCACACACATACCTGTGGCCTTTAGTGGAGTTTTCTCTCCTAGCAACAGTTTTAACCTTTTGGCATGGATTTTGCCTTGATAATGTGAGTCAGCCACCACCGCTGAGGTAAAAGACATATTACAGAGTGTGCAGCATTTGTTCTTGTCCACCATATCGGCATCACTTCCCTGCCAGGGAGAAAGAAAAAAATAACATTAGAGAGAACCCAAAGTCCTAAGATTTCTTGTTTCTCATTCCATTCTATTGAAAATGAAATTGACCACAAACTTTTTCATTGAAATGTCGTAGTTTTCGTTCTGCAATCTCTTTTTTTCCTCACGATAATTATCATGAAAACTTAGTTACTGACTTCAACCCATATTTATTTAGCACTGCTACTGCCAGGCACTGGGAATACAGGATAAATATGCAGATATGAGTTACCTGAAGAAAAATGGGGCTCGTAATTAGGCGAGAACACATTGTGTCTGGAAAACAGTCTCTAATTGCACCCGTTATACTCATTAAAGTAGGTAAAATATCAGAGTTCGAATGGCCTGAATTATTTAGCAGAAATTATATTTTGACATTTAGTTCTGCCTTTGACCAATTTTAGCCTCACCAGGCTACATGGCAATGTGCTCGAAATTTTTTTTTAAGATTTATTTAAGGAATTGAACATTTTTCATAATTAACTTGAATATGTACCGTAGAGCTATGATGACCATGCTGGCTGAATTTTCTAGGAGAAAATTTGGTAATTTTTCTTTTCTTCAGGAAGGTAGTTAGTTCAATGCTGCACAAAATACTTAAATCCAGCTTGATTTTTAATTCCTTTTGTAAGACTTGATGAAAATGAATCATGATTCAGGAAAAATAAATAAATAATTTGTCAGAACATGTGACCAGGCTATTGTGCACGCAGATCATCAATTACCTATATTATGCAAGGGAAAGATTAATCCATTGGCTCCCCTCCTGCTTAGTTAGAAATTGAGGGTAAAGTAGACTCTCAGATAAGGAGTTAATCTGCTCCTTAATGGAACAGCAATAGCAAAGCATCTCTTTGTTAAAGAGAAAGCCCTGGATGAGGCTCTGTCCCCACAATAAAACCTTCTCTTATTCCCAGCAAGCTGAGTGAAATTTAAAATGGCATGGGGAGAAAAATGAGGGTGGGGATTGGATGGAGAAAGGGAATTACACTGTATATTTTTCCACATAATAATACATCCAGACTGCTGGAGAGAATATTGCC